TCTTAATACTACTAATCTTTTCCTCAGTTGACTCCGTAGGAAATCTAGCCAATCAAGAAAATGTACAACACACAGCTAGATACTTGGGTAAGTATAAAACATAAACTGTCAACTATATATTTCAGGCTTCATTCAGTACTCCATTACGAGGTTCTATAGATTTCTGTATATAACTGTAAATATACATTTTGGTAAAATAATTAAAGTTCAAAAATACATATATGAATTGCATTGCAGAAGGGTTAAAATTTTGTTGATCAATATCAAGCAAGAGCTAACAAATTCACACTATGCTGTTGCAAAATGATGTTCACGCCCAAACAATCATTTTCTGCTTCTCTATCTCATTTCCGTCCCCACAATAGTTTTCAAGAAAAATACGGAAAATTCGCAATCTAACCTAAAACATTGGTTTTATTGAGAAAATCTGAAAGTTCTTCACTTTTCTTCGTTAGTTTCAACAGAATTAAAAAGCGATACACAATTACATTGCTTTTCGAAACGAGTTGTTCATGATATGAAAAGTCTTACCATCGAATACATTACGCAGAACATCAGTCACGATTAGAATAAGGTTTCTTGTAGTTTGTTCGTCGACATTTTTGAAAATTTTCTCTAGTATTTTTATAAATTCAAACAGCATAATACTGTTTTCATTGACAATTAAAAATCTTTTAACGTTTTCAAACAATTGAATTCGAATTTATACTTAATTGGTATGGGTGTTGATTTCGCAGTCTCTATTGAAAAACAGAAGGATCACAACCACACTCACACCCTAGGACTAAATCTCCTTAGAGGTTCTCTCTAAATACAGACAAAACAAAGCTAATCATGTTTTGTAAATTCCAGTTACGAAGGAATTACTTACACTGTAAGTCATTATTTGACCTTCATGAAAGCCTCAATAAGAACAGAAAAATCTTAAAAGGATTTGCGACAAAACGTCTCTAGCATCGAATTATGATCATTTGACTGAATGTTTGACCTAAAATTCAGTACATAGATAGATTCAATGACCCGTGAAATATCCTGAAAGCTTTAGAAGAAACAAAACTATTCATTTATCAAGATATATTCAATATCCAAGTAAGATCAATTTTAGTCATAAGCGACGATTTGTTGGAAATTGAATATCTCGATAGACAAACATACTTTTCGGTTGAAAATTTATTAAAACAGTTATAACCTGGTTTCAAAAGTGTACGGAAATTAATTCAGATTAGAATATCTTGAGTATTACTAAAATTTCCTTTTCAGTCTAATATGTGTTCAGACGGCAGATGACAGTTCAATTGACGTAATATTTTGTACTTGATACAACAAACAAAAGAATAAATAAATTACCATGTTCATTAGTTAACGTATACAAACATTGTAATTCATTATCATTATTAAACTCGAAAACGAACAAATTAAGATTATGTAATGATTTAGCATGATATATTCAAATAATTTCATAATCTAATAAATTAAATTAATGATTATTTTGTTCATGTCAACAATGTAAAAGCCATTCTTCTGTTAGAATTTCACTTCTTTTTATGTTACATACCACTGTCTAAAGAATTAATAAGCAAATATAAAAATTTCTTATGAGATGTTTTTCATTGATATTAGCATATGATATAACATGTGTTACTTGATCATTATAATCTTTTCGAATAGATCCATCTAGATAATGAACAAAATCACTAAATTTGAAAAGAAAAATGATACTTTTCTTAATTTACATGTGTATCTTTTCCGATTGCAACAAAATGCATGACACCAGATGATAAATGTTGCTAATATAAAGATCGATTTCTTCTTGGTATAGGAATATCCTAGAGAAATTTTTTGTTTGAACTCTAATTTTAGTCAAAAAAAGAAAATCTTTTTAGTTTTGACAATTTCTTTTTCTGTACAAGATAAACAAGTTGAGTTCTAATTGTATAGATATTTTCATTTTCTTTTACATATTGAAATATACAATCATCAAATGAATCAACAGTATAAATGAGTAATTAAAGTTGAGATGATAAAATCTTTGTTTCAGGTAACGTATGAATAGATTGTCATTCATCATTAATATGCATAACGATCTTCAAGTGAAGATAAATGTCGTTTATTTGAGCAAGCAGAGTCGATTATACATAATGTAATTGCCAGAAATATAAATAAACTTGATTAAAAAGAAAATATTTTAAAGAAAAAAATATATATATTCCAATCACTGGGATATGTTGATAAAGATTTTTCACTGATTTTCTTTTATTTCAATGAACAATTAGGCGTACATTACAATATATTGACATGTAATAGTTTAAGTGTGACCATTTATAATGTTCTCATGTTTTTTACTGCCATTAACTAGCGTCATATCTATTAAAAACAATCAAACTCGAAAACCAACCGAAACAGTAGATGTGCTTGCCAGTTGAAAAGAATGGAAGATTCACACCCACACGCATATATTAAGAAGGATGAGTGATTCACACTCTAATGTACTATGAAAAAAGTGAATTAGTACAATACAGGGGGGGGGGGGGGCTTGCCTAGATTTATGTATTTACTTAAAGGCATAGAAGAAGCGCATATGTGTATCATAATATGATGATATGATGTTTCTCACAACATGATTTAAATAAGATTTCTTCATATTAGTCAATATATGCGTGTCACAAAGTATCTCAATGGAAGGAATAAAGGTCAAGAATTCATTACATACTAGATCACAACGAGTCATTCCTCATTTCGATATATTGAATTCAGTATCCCGATGAATCTCATCGTATGGAATGGAAGATTCTGTGCCGAGACTTTATAAGAAGAACTTAGAAGGCTTCATATTGTTCCGCTACACTTTCCAGTATGGTATCTATGTAATCTCTTTTTCTGTTTCTATTTGTTCTCTTCTTTTCTTTTTTTGCTCGCTGTTATTTTTGTTTTGTTGTTTTGAATGTTATATCTTCCACGTCTCTTTGGGACCTAAATGACTATAGGGCTTTAAAAGCAATGCAAATCTCTGTATATGTTGCACAAGTCGATGTCAGTCGTCATTCAATGAATAATGTGTAGAAAGTGTAGGATAGCTCCATTTCTGCAAAAGTTCTTTTCTTAAATTATCATGCTTCAAAAAAGAAATACTGTCGTAAAACAATATAAGAACACTGCAACCCTGATGTACGTTCTTGACGAAATTCTTCATCGACGAGAATAAGATAAAAGTACAGGTATTTTTTTATTGATGCAACAAGAAAAATAAGACACAAAGGTAGCTTCTCTTATTTGTTTTCTATCTTACAACACAGCAAGAAGAAGTGGGATCACCTGGGTACCCAAGGTATCGTAATGACGTACAGCATTTTCTGCGCATGGTTTACAGACCAAACAACAGTCGATAACTGCTGCTCTTAAAACATTGCCCCATCTCAACCTGATCCAAAATTGCATTTCATTTTCCTCGCTTTGATGCCTTGAAATATTTTTGTTAAGGTTTTCTACTTGTCGTCATCAGTTCGTATTTTTAATTATCTAGTTTCTCATTGAGGACGATAGTTTGATCCAAAAATAGTTATTTAAATCAACTGGCATGACCAACAGTTTCATTGTAAGTAAAAACTCTCTGTATGCATACATATTTTCAAGATAAACATGACTGATCTGTGTCCAGATATTGAAATCATCGAAGGTATTACACTTTCTTCTACTTCTGATGCTGAAGCTTTGCGTTCAGCATTAAATTACAAGGCACGACCAGATGATATCTTTCTTGTTGTCTATCCGAAATCGGGTACAACATGGATGCAAGTTATTCTCTATGCACTTATGAATAATGGTGAAGCATTCGATAATAATATGGCAGAATATTTTGCACGCACACCTTTTCTCGACTTTGTTGGTGAAGAAGGTATCAAAAATATGCATAGACCGTGTGTTATTAAAACTCATTTGCCTTTCAATTATATTCCTTATCATGAGAAGGCCAAATATATCTGTGTAGTACGTAATCCAAAAGATGTATGTGTTTCGTATTATTACTTTCTTCTCAAACTTCGTGATATTCAACCAGATCAAACGTCGTTCGATGCATTTTTCGAAGCTTTTATCAATGGAAATGTTTACTCGGGTGATTACTTCAAACATCTACATTCTGTTTGGCAGCATAAAGATGATGACAATGTACTTTTCACGTCTTATGAAGAAATGAAACGTGATTTATCTAGTGTGGTTCGTAAGGTTGCTCAGTTCATGAACATTGAACTCACCAATAATTTGCTTGAGCGTATTTCTATCTTTTCATCTTTTAATTATATGAAAGAACGCTTTAACAAAGCATACTCAGCTCAAGCACGCATTTCACTGGCTAATGAAACACTCGATGCACCTTGGCCTCTTAGTAGAAGTCACTTGCAAAGGTGCGATCGTTTTCAACACGTGCGAGAAGGTGTTGTGGGCAACTGGTCTTCAACGATGAATGAAAAACAATCACAACGTCTTGATAAAGTCTTTGCTGAAAAGACGAGAGACATGTCTGGACTGGATAAGCTATTTTTACCATCATGAGTGTGAAAGCAGGTTCTGTTTTTTTTTTTTTTTTTTGACTGAATCATTTTCATTTCAAGAGGTTTCTAAGAAAACTTGTGTTTTTTGGGACATTTTCATGAAATATATTGATCTGTCTAATATCAAGAATGTCAGAACTATGAATGCGGATGTCGAAGGGCAATGCAGTTTCTTTCTTTGAATGTGCCGATTCTATATTTCAAACCATTCCAATTTCTAGACTCGGTTAAAATTATAATTACAATTGACTGAAATAGGCTAGAAATATTCTGAAATTCACCGAAGTTGTGGGTGTGGGTACAAATGAACAGATCACCAACACCACACTCACATCCGGTTTTTAATTAACTATTGATGACTGCTAATAGACTTATTTTAAAAACCCATTTATTTTCGTGATCATGTGTATAATTATTTTTGATTATAAAACACGCCTCATCTATTTGATTTTGTCTTTCAAAAAAATCAAATATTCTTTTTCTATACAAAAATAAGTTAAAACTATTTTAAACACTTTTCAGAGTTTCGATTTGGATTTCTTATTTGAATATAAATTTGTACCTGTATCTTTTCCGTATGTGATAGCCAAGATTCTAAACAACTGATTCAACAACAAAAGTCAGATATTATCAAGTCATTTGAAGAAGAATGTTCCACGGCTTTGTCAACAAATGATCCAACTTAAAAAACTTGTAAATGGACATTATTTATCGATGATGGGACATTATTAAAAATAAAGTCAACTAAATTAAAATCTACCATCTTCAATTATGAAAAGCAACTAGTATTACATACTATAGTACCAGAATTTGAACATTATGAACGAATAGATATAATTTTCAATTCATCTCAAAGCAAGAATATAAAATCATCTACGAAACATCATCGATATGAAAACAATAAACATGAAGAATACGATTGAAAGACGACAGATATTTTGAATTCAACTAGATTTCATGATTTCGTTCACAGAAATTGGTTCAAATTATCATTTAACCTGCTAGAAAATGTTTAATAGTTGCTGGACTACATAATGAAATAATAACAGTAATGAAAAACAGTAGGTTTTCACCATCATGTTCATCTGAGATATTGTTTAATTTAGAATCGAATCATATAGAATCCAATACCCCCATTTTTTTTTATATCGAATCAAATATTTAAAAAAAAGAAAATATTTTGCAAATCTTCACCGATCATCCAAAGCATCAGAAATGAAAAAATGTATTGTCGAAATGTATATTTTATTGAACACAATAAATATAGTTGACTTATTATTATTTAACTAAACAATAACAATAGAAACACATCTATGTTATCCAATAGAGTTCAACATACAGTTAAATCATATGTACAAAAAGCAAGTTTAGTTTTTGTTTATAACAAAATAATATATTTTATTACAGAATTATAAAATATTATTCCAATCTCAATTGAATTCTAAGATTATTCACCACACATACGTAAATATTGTAGTTTGGCCTTATTATATAAAATCGCATATTCAATATTGAATAAATTTGGCAAAAAATAACTTTAGACTGGCTGAATGAAACATGGATAGAATATCGTCTTTCATCACTTTCGAATCGTTTACTGTTTCCATCACTGGCTGAAAAATATTTACATTTTTTTTCACCAATGCATCTCCGAGCCATTCAAAACCTTCCTGAAGACCTTTCTTTTGCGTGGCTACTGTCGCTTGTATATGCCATTTTCTCTGACGAGTTAATTTTTCCAAATCAAGCTTATCTGTTAATTCACTAGGTGACATTGCATTCGGTAAATCTTGCTTATTAGCCAATATGAGAACTGGTATGTCTCGGAGTTCATCTTCTTTGAGTATTGAATGCAGCTGTTCAGAAGCATCATTTACTCGCTCTCGATCATTTGAATCGACAACAAAAACGATGGCTTTAGTATTTTGGTAATAGTGCCGCCATAAGGGTCGAATTTTGTCGCGACCACCGACATCCCAAGCTGTCATTTTGATATTTTTAAATTCAACTGTTTCAACATTAAAACCGATCGTAGGAATCGTTGTCACGACTTCACCTAGCTTCATGGCGTAGAGAGCCGTCGTTTTACCTGATTTGGAGAAAAAATAAATCAGTAATAGAAACATAAAAACAAACTTACCAGCTGCATCGAGACCCCACATAAGTACGCGCACATCCTCTTTTCGAGAAAAGTAGGATGCGATCTTGCTGACTGGTAAACCCATTTATGTATACGCTCTATATTTATTTATTTTTCTTATGCCATTATATGCGCTAGCACGCACATATATATATATGGATGTGTGAAAGCAATAGTTTTTTCTTTCTTTTTGAGGCTCGATGATTCATTAGCTAGTAACGCGTGTTGTTTTTGCCACGTCTCACATGCATGTGGCAAGAAATTGCACAATCATTACGCAAGATCGTCTATTGTATTTCATCCTGCGAAACCTGTCGGCTTCTTTTTTGCATCTCAGGTTATGTTCATAACTCTGCTGCATGTGTCGGTGTATTCTTTTTCGAGTTTTACTTACTTTTGTTACTTCAAGATCAAACACACAGACAAGAATTTTCTAATGAATGAAGTCGAATATTTTTTTACGTCTAAACGCATATAGTAATCCAAACAAGGCTATAATAAATGGATGACATGAAAGCATAAACTCTAATAGTTAGAAAAAAATATGAAGCAACTATATTTAAAATACCCACTGGTAGTAATTGATATTCACTGTACAAAAGCAATCAACACATGAAATATAAATTAAATCTCATTAGATCATTCAATTTTCATATAATACTCAAAAATCGGGGAGCACGACTGTTGTGTGTAAGACAATTATGTGTATGGACAATTGTGTGCAAGGAAATTGTGTGTTAGATATTTGTGTGCAAAATGAATGTGTGCTATGTGGAAATAAATATTTTTGTCAAAAAGTGAAGAAGATCAAATTGTTGACTCATCGCAAATAGTAAAAACCGGTCCAAATCTTGATTTCCTGAGTCGTATTGTAGAAATTGTCCTTTTTTCTTTGTAAGAGCAAATGAGCCGTTTATATGTGTTTCTGATATTGATCGAGAATTTGCTGGAAAATTTAGATTAGCAGCACGTCGTCGACAGATGGTACGCTTCAAGTCATTGATAGGTGAAAGCTGGCTTAACACTGTAGTAGATGTTGTAGCAATTGATGTGGCAACAATT